CCTGCTGAGAAAGCATCAAAAGGGAAGTCTTGATTTAAAGGCAGACCAGTTCATCTGTCCTCTGCAAATCTCCTCTGCAGTCTGGCAGGGAGGTAGGAAGACAAGCAAACCTGAAGGATGTAGTTTACATCAAAAACATGGAAAAAGACATTCAAACCTGAGACAAGATCAGAGATTAGATTCTGCCATTAAAGGAGGCTCTGCTCACTGCAGTATTAGAAGTCCCTTTTGTGTCCCATGGCTCCAAACCAGTCCAAGGCAATTTAGATCCAGGTGCACATTGCTCTAACTAGCTCCTGAGCTCCATCCAAGCCTGGGCCTCCTCTCCAACTCACTGGTTCACCTGGAGTTTTGGGGGAGTAGCTCTAACCTTGCAAGGGAACCTTCTCCACCATGGGAGCTGCAGGAAGCCAGTTCTACCAGCCTGCTGGTTATTAACACACTTTAAAAGATACCAGTTTGCCTTAGCGTGCAAATTATTCTTAGGGATGAGGATGATTTTGAAGACCAAGAGCACACACAATTCAGCTGAAGGGGCTTTCAGATTCCACTGAGTCTCTTCTCAGAAATTAGTGACCTAAGGGACTATGAAAATTTTCCTACAAGCTTCTGCTCTGCTCCTGAAGTACAACGTTGCAAGATCTCCTACAGACACTTCAGCCTGGTGGGTGATCCTTTACAGCTAGTATGAGAAGCACCCCACTGCCCTACCCAATTTTGCAAATGGCAAAGAGAAACACCCACTGAAACTTTCCTCCCTCTTTCCAGGTACTCCTTTAGAAGGCCCAAAAGACAGGTTTAAGACTCATTGCAAAGAGAAGTTTGCAGAAGACAAACTGGAAGACCTAGCTAGAAACACAACAGGCAGGGGACAAGATTTAAAAAAGAAAGATGTATTAACTGGAAAGAACATGCTGCTTACAGGGGTAATTGCAAATGTAGAGGGTGGATGACCCCATAACAGCACCTGCACACACAGAAGCATGCAGGAGATCAAATCTCCACATTTTTTACCAGAGGGAGTCATTCCATCTGCCAAATAGCCCTTCAGTCTGAGCTGATTCACCTTTGCTGTGACTTAGGTGAAAAACACAAAGATTAATTTGAGGCATTTTCCAGTTGTGCCAAAACTTTCAAAATAATTCAAGAATAATCAAAAATAACTCAAAATTCATGCACAGAGGAAAGGAGATGATGTAAAAAAGGCTGAGCTTCAGTCTTTAAAGCAGTGCTTTAGGAGGAGAAAAAATGTTGAGAATTTGATACTAGATTATAGAAATAGATTTCTGTGTTATTAAATTGTGTTATGCCACAAAATTGATCTGAAGGCTGGAACCCCTCTGCTGTGAGGATAGGCTGAGAGAGTTGGGATTGTTCAGCCTGGAGAAGAGAAGGCTCTGGGGAGACCTTATTGCAGCCTTCCAGGATCTGAAGGAGGCCTGCAAGAAAGGAGAGAGACATTTCACGAGGGCCTGTAGTGATAGGACAAGGGACAATGGTTTTACACTGGAAAAGGGTGGATTTGGGTTGGACACAAGAAAGACATTTTTTATGCTGAGGGTGATAAGCCCCTGTCCCAGGGTGCCCAGAGAGGTGGTCGCTGCCCCATCCCTGGAACCATCCCAGGGGAGGTTGGCCGGGGCTCTGAGCACCCTGCTCTAGCTGGGGATGTCCCTGTCCCTGCAGGGGCTGGACTCGATGACTTTAAAAGGTCCCTTCCAAGCCAAGCCACTCTATGATTCTTTACCTTGGGATGGAGTCAGAACCCCCTGGTGAGGAACAGCTGGATCCATACAGCTGTTCTCAAGAGAGGCTTCCCTATTTTGCCACATGGCAAGGAGCCAAGCTTGGGCTTGACCCAAAGCCCTCCAGAAGGGCCTCCTACCCAAGGTGCAGGACTGCAGCAGTGCTGCCAGGCAAGGAGATGCTTCAGGAAGCATGTGGGGAATCCACTCAGCACACAGGCTTCTAAAGTCAGGTAAAGCAGCTGCTCCAGCACATCTGGTACAAATCTCATCCCCAGCTGCACACCTGCTTTGCCAAACCCCTGCATGCATTGTCCTAGAGCAGCTAGGATACAAATGTACCACAGTAAAACTGTTACAGCCAGCCCACCAGACGAGAAGACTTCGAAAATGACACAGCACCTGTACTTGGCACCAAGCTGCTCTTCCCAGAGAGGCTGCTGCTTGTGAGCAGAGGCTGAAATGTTCCTTTGAAATGTTTTTGTAAGGGTGGACTGGGAGCCTTCAGTGTGAGGACAGGTTTAACCAGAGAATTTTTCAGTATGAATTTCTACCGTTCTTCCATTTTTAAAGATTTTCTGTGTCTGTGCTTTTGATAGGTACCTTTTAACTAGTCCCTTCTTCAGTCAAGTCCTAATTAAACAGAACCAATAAATATACAGATTGCAAACTGTTATCATCTCACAGCAACTAAATATGGACAAACTGGGGGATACACTGGTTCGTGGTGGCAGAAGTCCTTCTCTCACAGCCCAGTAGATCTGAGATTGCAGATCTGGCATGATAAACTTGCCATGACAACTGTTGTCCAAGATAAAACATTTAGTAAATAACAGAAGCACGATATGAAGCTGTACACAGGACACAGACTTCACATTTAGCCTGGGAATGGGGTTTCTCAAACCAATTACTGCCACACATGTTAGTCTAAGAAAATAAAAAGCACAGCTGGCCAGGCACAACCTACAGAACACTCAGGCTTTTGGATTTGAGCTCACATAATAGAAAGTGAAGGACAAGACTCATGTGCCTACCAATACTTGAAGTCACTTTAACAAGCAACAGGAATGAGAACAACAAGGAGCCAACACCAGGTCATTCAGGAGGCTTGTACAAGGAGATATGTAATATGACAGATAAATCACTTTAGTGAAATGATTCTAATGAAGAACAAACACTAACTCTGTTACCTCCCCTACGTGTTCCCAGTGACTCTAGTTTGAGGCTGTGTTGACACAACACCTAGTCTATCTTGTATTCAGTGACCAGCATCCAAACCTTTCTCCTGGCCTTTGGAATGCTTTTGGGCACAGCGTGGTCAACATCCATCTTTTATTAAATCAGGACTAGCCAGATATAAAGCAGGGTGGGAGGAGTCTATCGTTATCTTTGATTATCCCAGCGCAGATCAAAGGCTCTGCAATACAGTAACACTCCAAGGGCTTTTGATAGTGAAAGGATGTTTGTCCTGTCCCCATGGCGACAGCAATGTCAAACATCCTGCCCACGGCACGATAAGGTAGCAGGATGAGCAGCGGGGCTGGGGCTCTGGGGGCAGGCACTGGAACTGGTTTGTTTAAATGACTTGCGCAAGTTTGGCAGAGAGGAGATATTAATTATTTGTGCAGAAGTTAGAGCCTGCCCAGGACTCAGGCCAAGCAGACATCTGAAGAGGAAACATCCTGTGCACCAGGCCGGGTGATCAGTGCACATTTGATAGCAACACACTGTGTGGGCTGATATCTCCATTTCTGGCAGAGTTGAACTATGTCTGAAATGAAGAAGCATGTGTCCCTCCTCTGAGAGGCAGGGGGTCAAAGTTGTTATGGGAATCCAGATCAATGTTCCCTGTCCCCATGGATGCTGGAGACTCATTCTTTCCCAAATATTTCACTGCAAGTGGCAGCTGATCACCTTTGAGTCATCTCACAAGGTGGTAGCCAGCCAGGACATTGTATGGCCATTTATTATGGCAATTTTCCCCTTCATGTTGAACAGACAGCTTTTGGTTATGGTTCTGCTGAACTGACCCAGCCACAAGGCCCACAGAGACCTTCCCTCTAAGCCCAAACTGGAGTCCAATAGAAACCTAAGTGAATTTTGGGTTCCTTTCTCTGATTTTTGTCTTGTGGCAAGCACATCCCCACCTCCCCATCAAAGACACTTGAGACTGCAGGTGACACCTTCACACCCTGCTCGTGTTCTTCTAATGATCCCAAACATCCCAGCTGTTGGTGACACTCTGCTCACCTCCTCCCTCCTGGCAATGGGCCCAAGCCCACACACTGCTGTGGGGTCTGCCATGCAGCACAGCTTCTCCAGCTGATCCAGAGGCGGGTCTCAGCACGGGCACGGGAGGACCCACGCGCTGGGCAGCCCCCGCCAACCTGCTGCCTGGCCAGCATCAGGAACTAACCAGTGCACTTACAGGGCAAGCAGCAGCCTTCCTTCCCCGAGGAGCACACAGGGAAGCTGTAAACACACAGGTGTGACTAACCTCAGCAGCTTTCCTGTGGTCATCCTCACTGTCCAGCATGCGGACGTCCACGCCGAGGCAGCGCAGGTAGCGCCCCAGGCCCTGCAGCATGTTATCACAGACCACGCTGAGCTCCCGTGGGGAGATGGGGCTGGGGGCACACGGGGGCTGTGCCTGGCATCCTTCACACTGCTAGAGAAAAGCAAGAGCATCATAAGCAGCAGAACAGAAGGGTGATTTCCAGGACGTTTGTACTTTGCCCCCCTGCATTCACCTGCCACGGCAAACCCAACCATCCCCTTTCCCCTGTATCACAACTTCCCCCACACCCTGCAACACCTCTAGTTCCTCCTCTGTGTCCTTTCTATATTGCCCACCTATCACCTGGGCAGGACACAGCATGTGAGGGGCTAATTCAGAATCAGGCATTTGCTGACTGGCCAGCTGGGCACCCGCAGTGGGGATTTGCAGCCTCTCCTGGAGAAACGCCAGCCTGGCCTTCTATGCTCCACACAGATACTCATCCTCATGCAATCTCAGGAACACATCCTTGAGACTGGTACTCCCCTACTGAATTGGGGGACTGCAATTAATGTAGATGTGCCAAAGTTCTGATTTGAGAAGGGGATCTGACAGACAGAGGGAGAAACAGGTAGACAAAGCAACCACGTCAGCTTTGTTATCTTTGGAAGTTTAAAAATAGGCAGTGCCTGAATTCTGTTTATTTTATTTCAAATGTCTGCTGCTGGGGGAGTTCCTGTAGTTGGAGGCTTTGTCGCTGGGAGGCTCCAAGAAGTACAATAGCTAAATTCACAGAGAAGGGAAGTTATTAAGGAACCTTCAACGTTCAGCTTTTGCCTTCAGGAACTTGAATGAGCTAGGATGACTGAAAGACACAGCCACCTCCTAAGCCAGGCTATGCTGTCCTCTGAACCAGAGGGCTCCCTCTGCCTTGCAGATTAGCTCAGGCCTGGAAATGCTGTGGGACACTGTGCAGATACACCTGGGCTGACCAGGAGAACTAGCTCAGATCCAAGAGCTCAGTCTGTGTGGTGCTGCACCTCCCAGAAGCTGGCACAGGCACTCAAAGCTCTGCAGCACTGGGTAGGCTGGACTGTCACCTTAGAGGGTCCTTGCAAGGACCTTGGTGGATGCAGCTGTGCCCTGAGACATCAGAGTGCTGAGACAGTAGATCAAGCTGACCCTGGGATGCTGAGGTAGCTGGAGGACACTAACCCTGTGCTGCTGCTTCTGTTCAAACAGATGTAAAGGAGCAGCAGCTGGCTCTTAGCTAGTGTTTATTCAATGGCCAGCAATGTCATATGTAGCTTTTTTCTCACGTTTCATGCCAGCAGAGAGCAAAAAGCTTATAAAGGAGAAGAGTGTCATTAGCCCCACTTCAGAGAGTGGACCCAGGGACACAGGGGAGCTCGGAGTCACGCAGCACACAGGCTCAGGAGAACTCTGCTCTCCTCAGTCCCAGTTCAGGTTTTACCAACTACCTCTTGGTTAATGAATCTGACTGTACAGAACACAAAGATGACCCGTGAGTTCACAAGGTAATTCAAGCCTGAAGTACTCACTTTCCCATCTCTGCAGCAGCCAGTCAGGCCTGTTGTAATGTACAATATTCCCATGAACAGAGTGCTTAGAGCAGCTTTGAGTTTTACTGCCTAAGACTAATGGGATACTGTACATTTACACACACTTGATAAGAAAGATCCCGAAAAGGTGGCTCTAGTCAGCAGCATTTCTGTCCACCCATGGAAGGCAGCATTGACTTCACAAGCTAAACACACATTTGGGGCTACTCAGGACACAGCCATAGTGAGTCTTCTCAGCTAATAAACAAAACTTTTTCTGCTAACATTTTCATAGGTGCATGAACAACTGGATGGCTGTATTTATAAAGTAAAATGTTATTACTGAGAGAGGGGGACCATTCACATCCCAAGATATTTGTGTAGAGTCACTCAAGTTATGGCTGGTGGAGTTGTAAGGTTCTGCCACAACATACAGTGCAGGGGGAGGCCAGATATGGTATGTGGTGGTGGGCAGGACAGAGAGAAGCCATCAGCAGAAAGAGTTTTTGAGAGAAGAAGGCATTCCCAATGTGAAACCAAAGGGTAGAAGCACAGTTAAAAGCAAAAGTAAGCAGTCAGAGTTTTGAAACCTCACTGACACAACACCTAGGCCACAGAATTCAAAGCCAGGCCACCGAGGAAGTGTGGAAGGAGCATTTCTACCAGCAAGGTTAGCTGGATCCTGCCCCACAGCTCTGCAACAACTGTTTGCAAAGACAAATGAACCTAAAGTTGCAGGGAAAGCTGAACCAAGGCAATTGAAGGAGAAAGCCCATCTGACCAGGAAAGGGGAGGGGTGAGGAAGATCTGTGCTGCAATAGTCCTGAGAACAGCCTACAAACAGGCACGCCACGCACAGCCAACGGAGTGACTGAGAGACGAGGCAACACATGATTTGCAAGGGTCTTGAGCAACATGCAGCTCTTTGAAGATGTTTACAAACCTGTGCAGAAGGTGACGGTACTTCTTGTTTATTCAGCTGCTTCTTTGCCCTGGGTTTCATGCTTGGTTTTCCCACCAGACTCTCAGTCAGGTCTGAACTCAGACCAAAGCTTGCTGGATCCTTACAGAGTTTATCGTAGATCTCCAGCAAGCAGTATGCATCTGAAGCTGAAAATAAGGGAATATGAGCTGCAGCTGGCTTCATTGGAAAGTAAAACAGAGTGAAACATCAGGCTCTTCTTGCTGCAGGGAAGAGCCCCCATCTTTGTAAATGCCACTGAATGCAGACAATCAGCAAAGCTCCAACCTACTGATTTCATACCCTGCACTCTTTTCTTGATTCATTGAGCAACAAAACCTAACACGTGGCCACAAAGAGTCAAAGCAGAGGAGTTCAAAAAGCAACAGGCCCTCTGCTATCTCCAAGTCTAACGTCATGCAATGTGTAGTGCTCCTGTCCAAACCACCATGTCAGATAGCTTCAGCCAACCCCTTTTACTCTCCACTGCCACGGAGCAGCGGCCTGCCCTCGGCGCATGACTGCTCCTCAGCTATGGGAAGGGAACTTCCCCATCAGATGCAATACCTTGAAGAGTAATAACTGAGTTATTTGCAGTCACCTGCCCACATGCCATGCGGCTTCTGCTCCTTGCAACGGGAACTGCCAAAGTCTCCCAGCCAGTTCTACAAGTCCTAGTGATTAACTTTTGTGGGAACTGTGTCAGCTTCAAGGATAGCTGAATTTAACAAAGGGCTGGTTTGCTTCAGCAGACTGTCCTTTGATGCCCCAGGAAAAGATTTAGACCCAGACTTCTGGCTCTGGGGTAATCGACAATAAACTCCACTGGTCTCCCCACAGTACTGACTCTGTGCTGCAGTTTCTGACACCATGTCTACCCAGTTTTATCCCTGCTCTAACAAGCACTTCACTATGACAAATGAACGCAGCACTTGTTTCCCAGAAAGGCTGGGAAATGAGGCAGAAGGAAGTTGACTTTCTTCCTTTCATTTACTGAGAGGAGTTTCCACCGAGGTGATGTTTCATCAGACAAAATCTGCAAAGCACTGGAATTCTTTCATAAGGGAAATAATGAATCACTGGACAGTTTAAACTTAAACTATCAAAGCCATGTCCACCAAAGGACAAATGTAACACGTGCTGGCTTCTCTGAACAGGAACTAATCTGCAAAGCTCTTTTCTTCCTTTGCTACTTAACGATTTCACTGGAGACAGATGACAGACAAACATAGCCTGTACTGGACAATCTGTAGCACCTTGCCACAGAGCCAGTGAACAGACCTGCATAGAGGATCTGTTCCTCCCGGAGAGGCCGTTTCTCCCAGTTAGAGAGCTGCTCAGTTTTATCTAGAGGTTTCCCCAGCACATGTTGCACCAAGAGGCTGAGTCCTTTCTCCGGCTGCCTGAACCTCCTATCCCCACAGCTCTGCTCTGGGGACAGCAGATCGACGTTCTGGCCACCCTTCTTCCAGTCAACATAGCTCTTCTGCAGCTGATGGAAAGAAAAAGATATAAAACATATGGTTATAAACCAAATTCTACAACACCTCCTGTTCCAGTGGGTGGGGCCAGGCAGCAACCCTATCATTTTTATCTCCTGCCTGGCACACTGAATCCCGCTGTCTCAGACAAGGGCTGGGATAGCTTGAGATATATTTGGCGTCTGGTTATTTGTTTAACAAACACACTTGCTGGAAAGAAATCTGTTTCATAGCCAAGGAAGGAAAAAAAAGTGCATTGTTTTACAGCATTGCATCAGAGCAGCGGGGCTGTGGCTGCTCAGAGGTGTGCAGGGTGCTCAGCCATGCTGGAGGTTGTTGGAATCCAGCTCAACAGAAGAACAGCAGCAGTAGTACAGAACCTTTCCCCTCCTGGTTCCAGTGAGAAAAGGTAACACGGTGGGCAACAGCCTTTCTGCAGATGCCATTTCTCAGATTAAACTGAGGCAATAGCTGTTGGCAGGCACTTCAGGCCCTGCAGCACTTCCCAGGTTAAGCTATCGGTCCCAAAGATCTCCATTCACCCCAACCCACAGCCTTAAACACACTCTATAAATTTTACCCATTAAAATGGTTGTTCTTAATGTTTCTCAGACTGCTAAGAACTACTGTGTGTAAACCCAGACACAGCTTTCCTTCAGCTGAACAGAAATTCCTGTGCTAAATCCACCAGCAGCACCTCCTATGAACATTACGAGTTCCCTACAAATCATTAACTCCATAATATCTGCTTCAATACTGCATGATCTTGGAATATCAGAATTTCTACAGGACTTTACTCTTACTGAGGTCAAGAATGACTTGTGCTCAGAAACTTTGTCCCAGCTGAACAGAGTTATGTTTCTATTTCATTTGCTTTTTCACAGCTTTTACAAAGGTTATGAAAAAAGTCATCATCACATCAAGCTCTAACTTTTTAGTTTTCAAACTAGATGCTTCTGTCTGTCTTTACAGAATCACATCACCCTCAAAACCACAAGAGGAAAGGGTCATTTAGCCATCTACCTGCCCATACAGGAAACACAAAGGTAACACTGTGAATTCATGGCAGGTATCTATGAGCACATGCAGGAGACACAATTTTTATGTATCTTCATGAGTTCACTCTTACTTGTTTGTCTACTGTGAGCAGGTCCACCACCCCTTGTGCTTGTTTATCTGTGTCTTTCAAAGCAGAGCATGTGGCTGCAAGGCCGCTAAAATCTCCAGACATCCCATAACCTGGAGGAAAAAAAGCCCAAATCACACAGGTAAGAAAACACAAATTGCTGCTAATAAATATACCACAGATTTTTCTAGTTCAGAGTCAGGATGCTGAGAATACATGTATGAACTGCTCAGAGAACAAGGCAGACTCCCATCTCTCCTGTTCCCAAGAGATACTCCTGCAGGTCAAGATTGGGAGAGAAATGGAGGATGAAAAATACTGAGTTTAAGATCAACTTATTTAAAAACTCCTAAGTCAGTGAAAGGCAATTATGAATTTGCCCTTGAACTCTGGGTTTAACAGCTCCTGCCAAAAGCCTCCAGACAGATTCTCAAACCAGGTACAGTAAGCTGGAGAGCTCTGGTGCCCAGCACAGCAGCTTTGGGACAGAGCCAGCACATCCAGGAAGCCCTGGGTGGCAGAATTCCCTAGAGCCCTGAAGGCTCCGTGCAGGCTGGCGCTTGGTATGGAACTAAGACAATCCAAGGTGGGAGATTAACCCAAAATTTTGGGTCTGGCCTGGAACTGGGAGATATTTTTAACATTACCAGTTACCCTGGTCACCCTGATCCTGGCATGGCACTAAGTGAACACTCAGGGCTACAAAAGCTGGTCTGTGATAAGTGGATTTAGAGAAGGACAACCCCAAGAAGATCTAGGAACTACACAAAACAAGCTGTGTGGAGACCCAAGGGAGGGAGAAGAGACACATGTTACCTAGCTTGGTGATGGTTGCATCTGAATAGAGCATCTGGATGAAATGGGGAAGCTTCTCCTTGTCACCCTCTGCCTCAGCTTGCTCAAGGAGCCGTGGCAAGTCGAAGAGGAACACCTCATCCTTCAGAGCTATTTGAAGGAGGGACACCCGGGGCTTCCCCACCATGCCGAAGGAAGGTCTCCACTCCATGTCGATGCCAACTACCTGCCCAGGCTGCAACACAGACAAAAGCCTCCTTCACTAGACACTCACCATGCTTGAAAGCAGTCCGGACAGTCCCTGTCCAGAACACAAACATTTCCTTTCCAAAAACTTTCCAAGCCCAGGGTGGGTGATGAGTGGGTTGAGAGCAGCCCTGGGGAGAAGGCCCTGGGGGTGCTGGGGGTGAGGAACTAGCCAGGAGCCCCCCCCAGCCTGGGCTGCCCCCCCAGCAGCGTGGGCACAGGGCAGGGAGGGGATCCTGCCCCTCTGCCAGCTCTGGGAGACCCCCCTGCAGTGCTGGGGCAGCTCTGGAGTCCTCAGCACAGCAGAGCCAGGGACCTGCTGGAGCGGGGCCAGAGGAGCCCCAGCAATGCCCCGAGGGGGGAACCCCTCTGCTGGGAGCCCAGCAGGAGAGAGTTGGGCTGGGGCAGCTGAGCGGAGAAGGCTCTGGAGCCCTTATTGCAGCCTTTCAGTCTCTGAGGAGAGCCTGCAGGCAAGCTGGGGAGGGACTCTTCCTCAGGGAGTGCAGTGATAGTACAAGGGGTGATGCCAGATTCAGAGTAGGTATTAGGAAGGAATACTTTACTATGAGGGTGTGAGACACTGGAACAGGTTGCCCAGGGAAGCTGTGGATGCTCCATTACTGGAGGAGTTCAAGGCCAGGTTGGACAGGGCTCTGAACAACCTGGTCTGGTGGGAGGTTCCCTACCCATGGCATAGGGGTTGGAACTAGATGATCTTTAAGGTCCCTTCCAACCCAAACCATGTGATTCTATGAACTGCACCTCTTTGCTAGTGTGCAAACTGCTACAAAGACAAGTACCTTTCACAGCACACTTGAGTTACCCCTGGGTGGACCTTCCCTCCACAGCAATTCCCAACACACTCCCCAAATCAGACAAGCCTAAAGGAAGCAGCTCTGGGCTTGGAGAGGGAGACATTTGATGGCAGTGGCCCACGTACAACCCTGTGTAACAGCCTGCTGCAGAGTTCCTGCTCCTTGACCCTGCAAAGTAAACCCCAGGGTACCACTCACCCGCAGCACCTTTTCCCAGCACTGCAGTGTCTCTGCCCACGTCTGCAGGAAGTGGATGTTTGCCCGTGGAATAGGAAGCTGGTAATAGTCCTTCTTACTCTTTTCATAATTATCTGCTTTTGTGGCCTCTTCTACCCTGCAAAGAATCAGATGCAACAGCTTTCAGCCATGCAGTGAGAGAAAATCCTGGATTGGTGGAACATGAAGAAGTCTTAAGCCCCTTATTTCACCCTGACCCTCTATTTTCCCACACCACTCAACTCTTACTCTTACTCCCTCCTCACCTTCCCTGTAATCTCAGTCCCTTTTGTCTTGACTCACCCTCTCTTTTTGCTCCTGTCACAGGAATGGCACTGCATCTGAGACCTCACCCTGCACATGCACTCTGTCCACTGCAGAGAACACCCAAACCCAAACCCTCCCTTGAGTCAATCCCAAGCCCTCAATGCCAGAGAGGACATGCCTCAAAGACCTCTTTCCCAGAACTGATGTAATTTGGATGACAAAGTTGGGCAGCTGTTTCCACATTCAGAGATAATACATGTTAGATTTACTGCTTTTTGCCCTTGAGGTGAGCATGGAAGCCTGCTAGCTCCCATGGTGTAAGACATAACCCAGAAGCCAGCTCTGACCAGCACCCTGTCCAAACAGGAGCTTCACACTTCCCCACAGCATGAACTGGCTCAGAGACTCTCAAGTTGTTCCACACTAAGATCACCACCAGCTAGGAATGGGTGAACCTGCCTCATCCTTTCATCATGCAATGGCTTGGGAAGGCTTCACAGACCTCCCTGGTGCTACCCACCTGCTTCTCCTCCATCCCCTCCCCTGTAAAATGTTCACAAAGTTTTCACACAATCATTTGTCCTATGCTGCGCAGGGAAGAAATGAGAAAAGTTCAGAAATAAAGTTTTTCAAACCTTCCATAGTCAGGGGAAGACAGACAGGTGAACCCAGAGACTGAGCTTGTGCTGCTGCCTCCACTGGGGCTTCAGATGGCACCACACAGAGAAATTCAGTATCTGCCTATTAACACCCTGGGAATGCTGGAAGATTCCTGCAGCAATTTCCTGATTCCCTACAACAGGATCTTACGCAGCACATTTTCTTTTCAAAATGCAGCAGAGTCTCTTGAAGTGCCCCTGTAGCTGGAAGGTCAGTGTGCTGCTGCGGGGTCTCAGCCAGATGATGCAACCAGAGGAAAGAAACTAATAAAAAATACCCGGCTATTTTGGACATATCACAAATTTCTGGATATTCTCTTTCCCATAGAGACTTGAAATGGTTTATTATTTGAGAAACTATTTACTAATCTTATGTTTAGGGGACTGTGTGACTAATTTTGTAGCACAGCAGCTTTCACTGTACAAACACTCTTTTCCACGGGTCTGTGTGCTTGGGGAAGTCAATATTTGTGTAAAATATTTAATGAAGGTGTGCAGCCTCAGGTCTCCAGGAATATTCTCACCTGCAGAGTTCAGGAGCCACATGTGGTGTGACCAGTGGCAGAGATGATGTCATTTATATGCTGGTACCACCTTGTTCCCTGCAGTGTGAACACGCTCTCTGGGAACCTGCTGCTTTGTTAGCTCAATAAATAAGGCAGACAGACAGACTGCTTTATTAGGTTCCACGGCTCCACTGATTTTATGGCAGCTACTGCAGCAGGTATCACGACTGGATGAGTAACCTGGGGCACAAAGGACTCCACTCATCTGCCACAGCTCCCCGTGAGTGGCTCCACACTGCCCGTGCCCAGCGCAGAGGTGGGGTGAGGGGTTTATCTCAGTGCACAGTCTGTGGCTCAGTCACACTCCTGCCAACCACTGCTTTGTGCTCTGAGGGATTACACCTCATGCAAAAACCTTCTGGCTCCCAGCTGGTGGCTGGTGCAGCCTCAGCAGGGAGGAGGACGGCAGCTCCAGCAACACATCAGAGCTAAGCAGAAGCATGTCCTAGACAGACAAGAGCTTCCTGTGCTCCAGGAAAGCCACGGACCATCTGGAGCAGCCTGGCTTTGCAGAGAGTGTTTCGAGGGTGACCACATCTGTGTCATAGTTCCTGAGGTCACACGGGGTTTGAACATGAACCAGGAGAAAGATCTGATCCAGGAAGCTCAGTACATGACTTGTTCAAGGCCATCCGTGAGACCCTCCCAAAATCATCAGCATTCAAAAATATATAATCACAGATTGGTCAGGTTAGAAGAGGCCTTTAAGATAATTAAGTCCAACCATCAACCCAGCACTGCCAGGTCACCACTAACCCACACTGAGCACAACATCTCCACGTCTTGGAAACCCTTCCAAGGGTGGGGACTCCACCACTGCCCTGGGCAGCCTGGCACAGCCCTGGGCAACCCTCCAAGGGAAGAAATTGTTCCTCAGCTCCAACCTAAACATCCCCTGGTGCAGCTTAAGGCTGTTTTTTGTCGTTAGTCCATTCTTATCCTGTCACTTGCTCCTTGGGAGAAGAGACTGACCCCCACCTGGCTCCAGCCTCCTTTCAGATAACACATCATGTTCTCATTTGCCTTCTACTTCATTCAAATTAGTCCAATCTACCCTCCAAAAATATGATTTTTGGTTATGAAAGCTGCAGGATTTGCATAGACATCTCTTCCCAGAGATGGAAACTTCCTGCAATGTTTAAGATAGCAAACCTGATGCTAAATCTCGAGCAGGTTACTGAGCAGGGAACTTCACTCAGTCCTAGGCTAGATCTTCTTAAAATGATCTCCTTAACCTTACTGAGGCATCAGCGTTAACCAGGCAGCCAGTGAGAGATCTTGTTAGCTGGATTTCAGAATCCTGACATAAGAACCATAGGAAAGTCCTGCACTAAGAACATGAGGTAAATGGAAGCCCCCAAGCCCCCTGCCCACAGCTGCACGCTCTGCAGGCACAGGAGCAAGGCCCAGAGCAGGGGAGGCAGCAGATGAACACGGGCGTGCAGCCTGCCCTGCCTCTGCTCCTCACAGCCAGAGCTTGGTGCTGAAAGCATCCACTTCACTACCCAGGGAGCAGAGACCACCAGCTTCCTGCTGGCTTTACTCCTCCCCAAACAGGCAACTTATGATGGAACCAGCAGCTCCTCCTGGGCCCACAGTCCCCTGCAGATCAGAGCCACATTTCCATCGCACACGCCGAGAAGCTCAGCTCTGCCCAGGTCACTCCCCCGTGTGACAGGCTGCCAGGGCCATCAGCTTGCACAAAGTTGCCTCTCAGGAGTGGTCAAGATTTTCCAACAAACTTTCCCCTAATCTCACCTGGCTTCTGAATTAGGAACTCCAGTCTCTGTGCGGATAAAAATCCCACCACATTTCCTTAGTGAAAGTAAGAGAGACATCAGGCAAGTGGTGCCAGGTCCAGTCGAGCACAGCACCCTGGAATAAGGTGACTGATGTGTACAACAATGGAAGAGTCCTAAGGAATCCCCACATTATCACTGCTTCCTCTCTTCTGTTTTGACAAAAGCCTTGGCTCTACCTGGAAACACGATTGCTGCTCAAAGGGCAGCAAGGCTTTGAGCTGTGGGGCACTCCGACCACACAGCCCAGAGCTCTCCTGCATTCACACTGGCTGTCCAGGGGGAAGGCCTCTTCTGTGCACACAATCCAGCTACATGAATTCCTGCACATGAACGAGTGGGGAAAATGCTGCTTGACTGCAGCAGGCCAGCAAGCTGACTGGGTGACTCTAACCCAAGGATGTGGCAGCCTGCAGCTTTGCAGGAGCTCTGCTCTCACACACAGGCAGGCAGAGGGGACGCCAGGCTGTGTGTTGATGGGGCTACCAGCCACACCTCCATCCAGCCCACAGTTCCAGGTCTCCTGTGCAGTCCTGGGTGAGATCCTAACAGGACCCTCACACAGTATCTTCTGCAAGCTCTGCAGTTCCTCAAGACTTGCAGTACCCTGCATACATGCAGGCCTTTCTGCAGGGGAAAAAAAAGGTTTAAAAAAGGGTGCCAAACATGGTCATCTCTGAATAACTTGCTCAAACATCTTGTGGACAGGGTCACTGGAGCATGGCAGATACACCACCATATATGAGTATAAAGTGAATCACTGGGGCTCAGCAAAGAGTTTGCATGGAGCCATTTTTTCAAATACAACCTTTCTTCCTCTGCACAGCAAAGTTGAACAACTGCCTGGGACAGTCTTGCATGAAGGGGCCATTTTCTTCAAGAGACACAGCACACAGTCCCCAGAAGCAGAACTCCAAAGCCCTGGTTCTCCTCCACAACCAGCTTGCTGGGGTGGGATCAGACAGCTCCTAACAGTTCAGGTGGCTATATGTGCCTTCCTAAATTTGGAGCCTCTCTGTGACTTCTACACACAGCATAGAATGTGGCCACACTCTTCCCTCCATCCTTTCCCTCTGCTCCTCCTAAACTAGCAGGTTCACAGACAGCCTTGACTGGGGCTGTTTGCACAATTCTGGGCACTTCAAATCAAGGAGCTGTAAGAACCTCCCTTAATATAAGTGGGTTTCTGTTCTGGTTTTGTACCTCTGCCTTTGTACTCTTACTTCAGGTCATGCAACAGGATGAAGCTCCCATCGAGGGAGGAACTGTGGCTACTGCAGCCTAATCTGCTGCACACCACATGGGGGTCCCAGAGCAGGAGAGGAACCACGGCCCTGTCCTGTGGGGATTGCATTAGAGGAAGGAGACAGAGACCAATTAGGGGGCTAAAGGCTGCTTAAGTTCACTTGCTAAATTTATGCCAGAGAGACCAATTTTATCCCAAATTCAGCAACTCTTCCGGGATCTGACCCCAAATGTCAGAAATTCCCATTACTTCTGAAAGCTCTGATGAGGCAAAAATTACAGACTGGGATGAAAAATGACTTAAGAGCTGTCAAAGGAGGAAGGAAATAAATACAATTAGAAAAATTTAAGAAACTTTAAGAATATTTTCTTGGCTGTAATCTCCTAAAAGGCAATAAACCAGATGACAGCACACTGGGGGATGCAGAGTATATAGAAAACTTTGACAGATGTATAATCAACTCAGTAAGACAGACACATACTCAGCTACTACCCACATGATTTCATTTGCACTGTTGATCTGGCAGAGGGAGTCTGAAGATCCCTCTGCAGCATGAAAGAATCTCATAGAGCTTCTAAGTTTTCAGGAGTGAGTTTAAAATGTACCTTTCACAGACACTTTCAGGCTCATGAAAAGCAAACACAGCGTGTTCATGGCCAAGATGTGATCTGAGTAAATGGAGGAAGTTCTTGCAAAATTATCTCCCCAAGGAAACATTATGGCAGAAGATTTGAAGCATATATGTAGGCTTTGTGTGATAAGTAATCTGCATTGAAAAGGCACAAAGCAGAGCATTTACCTGTCTTGGATGTGGAGCTTTTGAAGCTCATCAGCCACTGCAGAAGGCAGCATCTCCTTGGGCACGTTGCAGCGCTGTGCACACCTCGCTGCCGTGCTCAGGTCACAGTGACTGAGCAGCAACTGGAGCAGGTGCCCCTGAAGCCATCGGTTCTCTCCAACTGTGCTCTGGAAGGGGAACAAGGGGGAGGGAAGGCTGTCAGTGCAATTTCCATCATGGATGTTTCTGTGCCCTCTCAGGATACAACATCTTCCAGGGGGTCCTGGGCAAGTGTGGAAAGGAGCAAGAATCACTCCCTGCTGCAGGAGTGTTTTTGTTCAAGTTCAGTGAGTGCTGCACTCCTCTGCCAAGAGATGAAGAGCACATACTTTCACTGAGAGCTCATCAGGGTCCTCGGGTCCCCTTGGCAGCACTACTGTTTGTTCAGGGAATATCATTTTGCAGGTGCAGCACAGAGAAATGAGAGTAGACCACCACCGTATAGCCTGACTGATGACTACCATATTATTTGCTCAGATATTGATTGTATTAAGCAAAATCAGAACCAGTGTCTGACTTTAGGCTTGTCAGGCAGGTAATTACAGGAGGGGTAAAAGCCTGGATTGTTTTAGTCCCATGTTGTGCCTGTCCATAGCCCTGAAGAGGTGTTGTGAGTTGATCTCCTGGGAGAGGCAATGGGATGGCTTAGTCTCTCTCCAAGTAAGACAGCAACATGGGGTCTCCTCCAGCTCTGGGAGTATTTTCATGGGTAATTAGGATTGCCAGTCACACACAGGTCACAGGCAGGATGCATCAGCAAAGCTTTCCTGAGTGACAGGCGTTGGTGTTCACAGTGATGGAAAGGCTCCTCCATCAGCCTACAGCCCATCTGCACCCACCACTGGGAAACCTGGGGCAGCAGTGCCCTGCTCCAGCACACCCTGTGGACAGGCACCCTGTGCAACCAGCCAGCACCGTGGATGGTGCCCAGGGTGTGAGTGGTGCCACCCTGCATCAGAAACAGGTTGTGTGAAATGTGCTTTAAAAGTCCTACTTCATGTCCACTGATTGGAAGAGGAACCTGGAGCAGCTGTTCCAGATGTGGAGAACTAGGGCTGGGTGTAAGAAATTCCTCCCTTTGTGTCTATTCCAGGCCTCTGTGGAGGTGACAGCTGGGTTATTGCTCCAGCCAGACGGACAAACAGAAGTATCTCTAGTGCTGCTGCAGGACACAGGGAGAGCAGGGCAGGACATTCCCCTCCCAGCCTGTTTCCCTGGCACCCTGCAGAGCCTGGGGCACACACACCCCCCCACAGCTGCCCGAACACCCAGCTGTGGGTGCCCACTGCCCACCCTGCAGGAGGGAGCAGCCGTGGGCAGGGGGCAGGGCAGTCCCCTAGTGCCCAAAGCAGCCTCCATGTCCCACCCCATTGGCAGGTGCAGCTGCAAGAGGGACCCCAGACACAGTGACACTGCCAGTCAGGTGCAGCTGTAAGAGGGAACCCAGACACAGTGACACTGCCAGTCAGGTGCAGCTGTAAGAGGGAACCCAGACACAGTGACACTGACAGTCAGGTGCAGCTGTAAGAGGGAACCCAGACACAGTGACCCCGACAGTCCTGACAGCTACACGGGGGTGGGAAGAACCCTCTCCTCCTGCCCAGCCAAGCCGCCCCTGCTTGCAAACATCCCAGAGCCACTGCAGCCAGATCAGCAGCTCACTCCCCTTGCCAGACTGATGTACTCATGGATCCACCTCAGAAGTTAATATTGTCAAGAAAATTTAATTGCTAAAACAAGCTGAAACTCTGCGTGGTGGGTCAGGATCTGTAGCTCTATGGCTGTATTGCTGCTGGCACTACCAAGAAGCCTTTTTCCATGTAGTGGAATGCTCAGATGTGCACTTAAAGTTCATCCCCACCCTCCACACGTGCCAGTGGCATCTCCCCTTCGCTGCCCACCAGCAGAGCTTGCAGGCTCAGAGTCCTCTCCCAGGCACCTTGCTCCTTCTCTATGGCATGTACAAACACAGCCTGGCTGGGTGGCAGGCTGGGGCCACGGGGCCTCATTCCTCACATTCTTTCAGTAACTAAAAGGTGAGAAGTTGTCTTCAAAGCAGACACCCTGCACAGAGATCAGGAAACAAACCTGCTGATGGCCCCAAGGTAAAAGGGAAGGAAAAAAGAAAGCAAAAAAGAAAAAAAAGAATGACCCACCCCGTGGAGGTGCAGAAGGGGGTAGAGCCTTGGAAGAAAAGCCACAGAGAAATTTGGCATCCCAGGTAGTGTACACGAGGAGCCAGCGTGCTCACAAAAACTGCTGCCTCAGCACTTTGTCGGCACCCCTGTAACTCTGCCAAATGCCAAACCACGTTTCCTCTCATGGGTATGTGGAGGGATATTTTTACTGCTGCTCCAAAGAGGTTGGTGGCACAGCAAAGAGACAGTGTCAAAGGGACGGAGGTGCAGCACCTAACCAGGGGCTCAGATAGAGGAGAGAACGAGGAGTGAGAACCAAGGGAGGAAGGGGAGCAGGGAGGGATAAGCTATCACATTAACACTTCTCGCTCTCTACAGTTCCTCCCAAATCTTTCCTCCCAGCCAGTGCTGATACTTCATGCACCTCTCACATCTCTGCTTCATGCAGCTGAGCTCAGCCAAGCACCTAACACATGAAGGAGGTTTGAGTAACTCCTCCTGCTGCGTTTGCCAAGACACTTCTCAGACTCCTTCCCCAAAATAACATATTTTCTTACTAACATCACAGAGCAATTCCCTCTTCTAGTGTCTCCTGTGTTCATCCTATTGTCTTTCTGTTTTTTTCCAGAACATGAAGTCTTTGGGGTTGGAACTCTGTTCACATTCACCCAGAGTCAATTCTTAATAAATCTCATTATGTCAGCTTTATTTCTGGAAATAATGAGGTGCAGATTTATTTTTTTTCATTATTTTAATGATAACAGATTTATTCTTTCAACCACAAAAACAACTCTGGGAAGAAGGTTAATCTCTCCAGAGATATTACATCTTGCATTCTGAAGTGGAAAATAGCTTTGTTAGTTTTTTCACTGAAAAAAAACCCCAGCACTGCTCTGAAGGGGAAAGGCTTCCACCGCAACAGCTCTGCGAGCAGCAAGAATGTGGAAACTTTGGCCCCAGAAGATGTGGGCACAGATGCAGAGACAAATGTTTCAGTAGGGATGACATCTCATGTATTCTGTTTTCAGTAAGCGAGCACTTTTCAAGAGGAAACTGGCACAGTTGTTCTGATCAACATCAGCAACACTTCTGAGCAGGAAAAGATTAAATATACCATCAGGCTTGTTTACATCCCTCTCTGAATTCTAGACATATCACACATTCTTTAATCCATAGGCGCACACAAAAACTCCCGACACCAACAATAACCCATGATTAAAGCTCTCCAAAATGACTGCTGCAGATTACCTACCCGTAAATCCTGTTCTCACCCAGCAGAATGCTTTACAAAGCTCACAACCAGTGCAGAGCAAGCTTAGGAATGTCCTGATCTTAACCCACAGCATCGGCAATTCCTCCATTGTTATCAATAATTTTGGATCCAAATATCCAATATCTTCTTTGGAAGTCACTCTAGCCAACCCCAGATTACTTTTATCTGTATGTGTTAAGTTGCATTTCTGTCTGACACAATTCTCTGCTCTCCCTCAATATCCTTTCCTGGACAGTGCAGTTATTCACATCAGTGACATTGGCTATTTGCAGAGTCAGATTTTAATTTAACTTTTGAATGTCTTGGCCAATTTCCCTTGTTCTCAAGTGCTTCCAGAATCAACAAAAAAAAAAATCCTGTTAGCGTAGAGAAAATGTCAAGTAAAGTATTTTAGAGCCAGGAACTTTAAAAGGGGGGAAAAAAGAAACCCAGACTTTGAAAGGGCAAAACCCCTGTGAGCAGTGGAGGACACCAGGAGCACCTCTGGCCTCACGGCGGTGCTGAGCAGGCACCTTGGCTTACAGACCCCCTGGAACAACCCACTGGGTTAGCTTTGTTGGCACTTATTTGTGCTGGGGAGCTCTGTTTGGCAGTTGGCATCATTTGCAGTACGTGAGGAGATGCTGCAGCAGCACGTCCCCATCAGTGTGTCACTGAGGGGAAGTCTTTGGTGGGTGAGACTGGAGCTGGGACCCTCAGCGCCAGCTCAGACCAGGGTCGCCGTTCCAGGAGAGGAGGATCCTGACTTCTAGATAGCTTCCATAGATGGCAGCTGGACAAAAGATGCCAACTACACCCACACTTCTGCGCAGGGTTTCCTGTGAAAGAAGCAGGCCACTCACCCATGGCCAGTGCACAAAGGCAGAAGCATGAGAAAGCCGGGTGTTCTCACCACTCGAGCTGCTCTCTCCCTCACAGGCACTGGCTACTCAGATGCACTAATTTATGAACTGGAGAAGAACAAAATAGCCTCCATTCATGTCCCAGAAGACTGACTTTCAGATAGCAATCAGTGCGTCATTGACAGAGCCACACTTCAGTGTTCTGGAGGCCATTACCACATCAATGGCAGGGAAGTGGTCTTTCTTCTCTCTTTCAACAAAGCTTTGGCACTGCGGCTCCCTGGGGCATGTTCACACCACCTAGCTTCAGCTTTGTGAATCAGGAGACTCGGCTCCCGGACTCCCCAAGCAATCAGCTCTTCCAAAGGCAATTGAGAGGAGTCTAACTTATGATGATATCGACTGAACGGATCAAGGCAAAGGCAACACTTAAAGCCAACGTGCTGCTGTCCTGGGGCTCCTCACAAGGAGCCTCTTGTCCTATGCTAGGCCAGTATTCTGTGATGAGACACATCTGGCTCCATTTCTCTGCAGATCACACAATCTTGCCAATGCACTTTCTCCTTCAGAAGTCCAGACACTGCTACCAAATGGCAGCCAGAAGGAAAAAAACATATAGCTCATCTGCCCAAATTCCCCGGGCTGCTGCATCTCAGCCAGCAGGTTGAGGGAGGTGATTGCTCCCCTCTGCTCTCCACTTGCAACCACACCTGGACACAGTGCCTAGTTTTGGCCAGCCCAGTGCCAAAGAGATGCTGACAAATAGGAGAGAACTCAGTAAAGAGCCATTGAGATGGTTCGTGGGTTGGAGCACTTGATGCAGGAGAGGCTGAGGGAGCAGGGCTGGCTCAGCCTAGGGGAAGCTAAGCTGGGGG